TATGCTGTATGCTGTATGCTGTATGCTGTATGCTGTATGCTGTATGCTGTATGCTGTATGCTGTATGCTGTATGCTGTATGCTGTATGCTGTATGCTGTATGCTGTATGCTGTATGCTGTATGCTGTATGCTGTATGCTGTATGCTGTATGCTGTATGCTGTATGCTGTATGCTGTATGCTGTATGCTGTATGCTGTATGCTGTATGCTGTATGCTGTATGCTGTATGCTGTATGCTGTATGCTGTATGCTGTATGCTGTATGCTGTATGCTGTATGCTGTATGCTGTATGCTGTATGCTGTATGCTGTATGCTGTATGCTGTATGCTGTATGCTGTATGCTGTATGCTGTATGCTGTATGCTGTATGCTGTATGCTGTATGCTGTATGCTGTATGCTGTATGCTGTATGCTGTATGCTGTATGCTGTATGCTGTATGCTGTATGCTGTATGCTGTATGCTGTATGCTGTATGCTGTATGCTGTATGCTGTATGCTGTATGCTGTATGCTGTATGCTGTATGCTGTATGCTGTATGCTGTATGCTGTATGCTGTATGCTGTATGCTGTATGCTGTATGCTGTATGCTGTATGCTGTATGCTGTATGCTGTATGCTGTATGCTGTATGCTGTATGCTGTATGCTGTATGCTGTATGCTGTATGCTGTATGCTGTATGCTGTATGCTGTATGCTGTATGCATCATTTGGGTCTTAGAGCATTTTCAAGTTGCTTTTCGAGTGCTTTTTCTATTCATATGTGAACTTTCCTTTACTATAGCGATGACCAGCGATGTCTCCATATATTTGTGTTTCTTCATCGATTAAATAAAGCGTAAAAGTATGTAAATCATGTGAAAATTGACTTTGAATATTTAAATTATCTTTGGGAATTCCAACACTTAAGCTTAAACCCCAGTGAGCTCTGCTTCGGCTAAGGAATTTGGCCAGAAGATGATTTTTGCAAATATGAAAATGCTTAGAAATGCAGAAGTGAGTCGTCCGCTTACAAATATCATCTAACAGCCAGCTCCATTAAAACTAATGAAAGCAATTTGTAAAGCCGCCAGAGCAAGAGTATAAATAAATGGAATGCATCTGCACATTTATTGCCGACAAATATGCAGAGCTCACACGGTTCGAACATGTCATTGTAAGTTCAAGTGTAGCCAGGACGTCAGCAACAGCACTTGGTCGGGGATTGGGCGTAGGCGTGGGTGTGGGCGTAGACACTGAAGCTGGCAGGCTTACAGCTGACTCTGGCTGATGTTTGGCATTGCAATGGCTGCTGCTGCTGCTGCTGCTGCTGTCGCTGCTGCGGTGCCTGGACTGGGACTGAAGCTGATGATTGTGATGGGCACAAAAGCCGACACCTTATGAAAAATGCATGGACTCTCATATGTTTTATGGCTTGTTGAATTTCGTTGCTGTTGTAGTTCAAGTTGTAGTCAAAGGCGCAGCAGTGGCAGCCTGTTAAATTAATAAAGGACATCAGTGCCCGGGTACCGAACATCCAGCTTCAGCCTGACAGAAATTTCGTATGCGACCAAAAAGTTGAGGTTTGTTTTTCAACAGCTGTGCAGGAGACAACGGCCGGTCGAGCCGCCTCTCAAAACTGGCTCGACCCGGCTCAGATATAATATATTAAATTTTCTTTACATTGTTATTGTTTTTCTTTTTTTTTGCTTGTTTTGTTTGATTTTATGCGCTCAGCCAGCGCGCAGTTGGTTAACGAACTGTGAATTTTGTTTTAGCTTAGCAGTTGTTGTCTCCATGTGTGTGTGCGGGTGTGTGTATGTGGCTCATGTGTGTGTAAAGGATTGCGCTTACTTTTTTACGATAGATTTTAATTTCCGTTTGCATTTTGCACGTTTTTCATAATTCATGCGCTCAAGTAGCGAGATTGATGAGGGCTCTCACAGCAGGTTTTAGGGCGCTTGGTATACGGCTGAAACTGGCTTAGCTTCCAGCCAACACACACACAGACACACTTTCTCACAGGGCATAATCGTGCGGAAATGCCAGCCACACTAAGCTGACCTGGGCCAGTCGCTTGAGTATTACTTATATATAAAGATATATACACACATATATATATAAAGATATGTATATATATTTCTATAAGTAAATCACAATGAGTGCAGCAGCAGCAGAAACCACCCAAGCACCCCAACCTGGTCAACCCTTTAGACATTGTCGAACAGCTGCCGTGACTAGCGCAGCTCGTTGCATCCCCAAAGGGCCATTGACTAATAGGATTTGAAGAGCGTAAAATTGGTTCGTTGTGAACATGAAATATGCAGTAAATCCTTCTGCCAGCATCCAGAACAATCTCACTTCGTACAGCCCCTCGCTCCCTCTCTCTCTCTCTCTCTGCTTGGCATTCTTATTTTCACATGTTTTTCTTTAATATTTGCTGCAACGTCGCAGCTTAAATATTCTTTGCAGCTTGCCATATTTTGCACCCAGCCAATGCAACCGGATCCTTGTTGGCGCTCGCGTTCGTTGCTGCCGCTTCCTGTTGTGTCCGGGCCCGCTCGCCTTGTTCCTTAGGTCCGGGTCCTGACTTTTGCTATTACCGCTGCCACGGAGGCCAATGTACGCGCAGTTTGTTACAATTTCGCGGTTCGATTTCGCCCAAAGTCGCCAGCGTCCTTGTTGTTGTCCTCGAGGGCGCGATGGTGTGTTTTATTATCGCAAATAAAGCGCAATCATTGTTGTTGCACCCGCAGTAAGGCAAACGTGCAACTCACTGCCTCAGCCCCCATCAATTTGTACTTCTGCCCCCGACTGGCTTCTGTTCATGTGGCAGCTGGCTCCATGAAATACTGCAAATAGTTTTATTCATACCCGATTCATACTGACTGAAATATGAAAAGCTCGACGCTTTCAGCCGCTGCCGCTCCATAACCAAGCAACCCAGCAGCATCGAATTGTATGACAACTGGCTAAAATTGAACTGGAATTAAACTGTTTGCCAATGGATTTGGCTAAGTCAGTTTGTCAACGAACAAAAAAAAAACGAAGCAATCCAATTTGTTTTGTCTTGCAGATGGCTGTAATCCATCTGCAAGTCTGCTGATTGGAAAAGTATTTGCTTTGGCCGACATCTTAAATTAAATTTTATCGCAAAGCGTCTACTGATTGGCTACCATTTAAATTAAATTTTAAATTAATTTTATAAACTATTTTGTCTAATCTGTTCTAATCAGATATTTGTTTTTCAAAAACCATTGCATACTTTTGTGCTGCGAGAAATATTCAAAACTGAAAATTTCCATTGCCTACTTTCGTGCTGAACAGTTAAAGAGCAAAGGAATTTCATTGTAGGCTGCTAGCTGATTGTATAAAATTGAATCAGTTCTAAGGTCAACTATTTGGTTGAAAAGCAAATCTTAATATTTCTGAATATCTAGGAGTATTATTGAGCTTAAAGTAGCCTAATCAATTGTCTATGTTGTTAATGAGAGCCATATATAAATGGACTGTGTTCTGCCAGACATTCTACTGATAATTGTGAATAATGACTTTGCAGTTGTGTTGTGCTGCTGTTTAAAGTGTCATTGATGCTTGAAATATCTCAAATCCCTTGTAAAATCTATCTAGTCTTAACGCAAAGCTGGCTGAAGATATTCTCTCGCTTGTCGTTCATTCAACTGCATCTTAGCTGACTTCCGGCGTTGCCTTTTATGATAAATTGAAACAAATAGCCAGCAACACTAACACACACACACACACGCACAGGCACACACACACTGAGTAGAAGTGGAAGTGCAGCCAGTAGCAGAGCTTATCAGAAAATTGCGCTCAGCTGTTTATGAAAGCATAACAATGTTAGCTGCTGTTGCTGCTGCTGCTGCTGCTGCTGCTGCTGCTGGCGGGGCCATTACTGTACGAGGCATCAAGCTGATCATCAAGCTGAATAGCTGCCCCGGCTGGCCGTAGCGTCGCAGCACATAACTCACAAGTAGGATAAACAATTTACTTATCGCTGCTGCAGGCCAGCAGCAAGGAAAGCCTTTGGTCTCTCCTGGCCCACAGCTCGCTCAACACTCAGTTCTCAGACGCTGCCACATTGGCAAATAAATCATAATAAATAACTTGAAAAACGAAACACCTTGCCGCATAAAACTTGCACGTCGTTGCCTGCCTGCTGCCTGCCTGTTGGCAAACAAGTTTTGTTGCCGCTCAAACTTGTCCGATATTTGTTGGGTATTCCAACTTGGCAATAACGTTCGCAACATGCGTCGACTAGGGAGTCCAGAGACTCAACAACTTGTAGCATTAATGTAAACTGAGTTTGAGCCATGAAGGTCATCGAGACCAAATCTATTTTTAGCCAAGTTGAAGAAAAAATTTAGTTGTTGTTCCGGACAGCTCACACTATATTCTCAGCATTGTTCAAAGATTTTTATTTCTAAAATATATATCAATATAATTCCTTAAGCCTTGTCTGAGGCAAATGTTTGAACTGCTCATAGAGTATCTAGATTTTCAGTTTATTAAACTTCTTGCATTACTTTTCATTGCTGTTACTTTTATTGTTGCTGGTGGTGTTAGTGTCTGCTTACAGTTTAACACTTTGCAAACTCTTGGCGCCGGTGGGGTGGGCGTGGGTGGGCGCTCGCTTTTGCAACTGGTGATAAAAATTGATACATAACTGGCATAAATCAGGCGAGTGGAGCGCATTACGCATACGACGCGTGTGTATGCCAAGCCATTTATTAAATTAGCCACAGTAGCATCAGCATAAGCAACACACACACCCACACAACAACGCCCACACCACGGTTCTTACGCCAAGGGCAACGGCAATGGTATCGCAGGTAATTTGTAAATATCTGACAGATGCGCTGATAAACTCATTGCAGAGATTTCATTCATTCACGACGGCGGCTCTCAGTGATTTATATGGGGCTTATTACAGTCACCAGCCCACACACATACACACACATGTAAATGCACAGTATTAAGTATAACAACACTTTATTCGTAATACTTGGGGCGTACTTAATGTAACATCACAACGGGCCAAGCAAATCAATTGCCTTTCTGCCTCAGCTCCTGGCTCGACTTCAGATTCGGCTTTAGCTATAGCTGCTGATTCATGGCGCAAATGAAGGCTGATTCAGCTTGGTTAGCTCCGGCTCGGTAGCTGTCTTCTTGTTGAGCGCCGGCGGCGCTTTTGGCAGACTGAAGAATTTCTGTAAATTAAATTTATGAAAAATGAAATTAGGCTACGGCTGCTTTGCATAATTTAAATTATAAATTAGATGCCGTCGATGCCTGATGCCTGTTGCCTGATGGCTCATGGCTGATGGCTGATGACTGTTGCTTACATCGTGCCTGCCAAAGTTCTTTGCCTCCTCGATAGTGTCTGGCAGCTTCTTGTGCAGCGTCTCGGGCAGGAACAGGGCTCCGATTCCGCCCAGCAGAAACAGGGTGCCCAGTATATAGTACGGCGCGCGTATATTCACCGTCGTCCCCAGGTACACCAGGTACGGTGCGAGCACTCCGATCGCATTCGCCAAAATGGTGCCCAGGGCAATGCCCGTCTGTCGCATGCACGTGGGGTAGATCTCCAGGCACTGCAGATTGGCCGTGAAAAAGGTGAGCGCGTTGAGGAACTTGATGAAGGTGGCCAGGTAGATCATCAGCCACTCGAATCGCTCATCCGTCGCATAGGCAATGATGGGCAGGCAGGTGAAGAACGAGATGAGAAAGGATACCGAGTTGGTGAAGCGGCGTCCATATTTGTCGCCTGTCGAATAGAAAAGCCAATGCCAAAGAGCCGAGCCGATAAGGATGATTGGCAATCAGTGGCCGCATTTGACCACGCACAGCTTTGCACTCACCCATGTACTTGCCCACCATGTACGCGGGTATTTCCACAATGCTCTGGTACAAAAAGTTCAAAAACGGATTGCCCGCCATGCGCGAGCTGAAGAGCACCAATGTGAAGTAGGAAACGGCAACAACACACCTGATGGAGGTAAGGCGGGCAAAGGAGAAGTCAGCCAAAGCGGACCGCAGTTAGGAATGCAAATTGGTTTTTTGATACGCACCAGCTAAAGCCCATGATTGTGGTGTTGCGGGCCAGGCGCCAGCCGGCGAACAGCGAGGCCATGCCATAGGTAACCTCGTGCTTGTCCAGGCTATAGATTTCGGTCAGTTCCTTCTCGGTCACATCGAATGTGCGTCCATTAATTTTGGCAATCTTCTTGAACTGAACAATGGCCTCGCGGAAGCGTCGCTTGCTAATCAACCAGCGCGGCGATTCGATGACATATCTGCAAAAACGGACCCCAATACAGAGAAGCGAAAGACAAAACAATTGCTAAATGGAAAGGGAAGCAGCAATGGGACAACAGTTGAGAGCATTCAATTGAATTGACTGCGTGACTTACTTGGAGAAAAGTAGAACCGTTGCTGTGGGCACGGATGTCAGCCACATAAAGGATTCCCAGTGGCGCAGCCACCAGTACAGCAGCGGCATCAGCGTCGTGCCCACGGACCAGCCCACGCTCTGGAAGAAGGCGATGCGACTGCGATCCTCCCTGGCCCACGCATAGGCAAAGTTAGTCACAAGTCACAAAACATTTTCTGCTGGCTTATTCAATATCTGTCAAACTTACTCTCGGGAGATTTCCATGCCAATAATTTGCGGCGATTGAAACAGACTGTTGACGGTGAGGCCCACAATGCCGGACATGATGAGGAACCATGTGTAGGAGGACGTGCACAGTACAGACCCCAGGCGGCCCACCGAGCAGAAGACGACGCTAATGTAGTAGACCACGCTGCGACCAAAGCTGCGGCCAATGAGAAATGCCGAAATTCAATTACCAATTACCAATTGCGTCCAGGCCCATAATTTAGTTTCGGCCAACTTACGAATCGCCCATTTGTCCAAATATAAATGAGCCGACCACCTCAGTGACGCGACCGACAACGAACACATTTGTTACGAACAAATCCTTGGCGCAGACCCAGTCCTGGTCCGTGGGTATTGTGCTGTCATACCAGGTCTGGTCGTAGGTCCAGCCGTGCTGGCAAGCTGGCAAATCGAAGAGACCGTCCAATAAAATGTATTAGAGTGCAAAGTTGTACAAATTTATAAGACAGCCAGCAACTGCTGGCCAAGTTTTTCCATACGCTCCAACTGCCGCAAAGCCAGGCAATATATACAGCTGTATAAATGGCTCTGTTCCTCTAAGGCTCTGTATGTGTGTGTGTGTGAGGTTAGCTCACCTGTAGTCTGATTCTTGCTGCGGCTGCTGCTCCAGGCCGAGAAATCGGTTAGTTCTGTAAAGTTGGCATCGTACATTTCACAGGTGCTGTGCGTCTCCTTGCCTCGATTGTCTGTCTGCCTGAGGGCGAAATGGTTAGGCTTAGCATGGGATTCGAACCTGTGCTTTCAATTTGCCAGCCAACTCACTTGGGCAATGTCAAATCGCGCCACTGATTCATTGTGAGATTGGTGCGCTCCCGGCCGGGCACCGTGCACCAGTGATCGGGTATGTTGAGGGCCAGGATGATGTTCATGTAGACCATGGCGCCAGCGAACGCCAGGCCAGCGACAAACACATAATTGTAGAGCGTCTGATAGCGACCATGGTTGCCCGCCTTCTCCATGAGCGCCTGGAACGGATCGTTCAACTCGGACTCATCCAAGTCCATTTCACTGAAGCTGCCCGCTGCCGTAGATAACTTTCTACTGTTGGCTACCACCTCCTCCAGTTTATCTTTCATTGTGTTGTATTTGTATTTCTATTTCTATTTGTGTGCTCGCTGCTCTGGTTATTTAAGTAAATCGTTTGAAGATTAGTTTCGCTCTTATCTTTATGAAATGCCAAATAACTCGTAAGAGCAAACTTTATTTCTCGAGTTCTCGTGCCCAAAGATGTGTCGATGCTCAGAAACGTTTATATAAATAACATATATATATATATATATATATATATATATATATATATATATATATATATATATATATGTATATATAGACAATTTGTTCAATTTGGCATATCATCTAGTCTAAGGGCTATAACTGCGCAGATATTGTGAAGTGTTTTATGGGAACATTTTCGAATTGCTTCGTGTCAATACAGCTTAATGACGCCATAAACTAGGTGCTATAAATGATACAACTATTTTTTATAACAAACTATTTTTAAATGAAACAAAAAGAAATTTATGAATATATTTCCTCGCAGAATTTCATATCTTAATAGTAAACTTTATTTAAAAAATATATTTAATATACTTACAACTTTTGCTTAAAGAACTTTCGACAATTGCCTCTGCACGTTTTATAACCAATTGATGGAAAGATTTCACAATCGATGCGGTTTGTTTACACACTCTTGAGCACTAATTAACTTTATGGACGCGTACACTAAAGGAAACTGAGTAGAACTTGTTGCGATAAGATCTGTCTAATTGCAGTTGAAAATCAAATTGCCTAGGCTCGGGTTAGCTCGGGTTTGCCATGGGCTCAATCACAGCTCATTTGATAGTATTTAGTTCTTTTACGCTCGACACATTTCGCATGCAAATGATATGATGTGAGATGATATATGCTAATAGTCAGCTGGATTGTAGAGCAACGCATCAACCGTCCGCAACACTCGCGGTTGTCACTGTGAGTGCTGGCCCAGACGAATGCCGGCGTTAAAAGGGGCCCTCTCGAGAAGGTGGCTTATCAGCGGAGACAGAGCGCATAAGCATTATAAAATAATTGCTGATAAGCGTGGGTCTTTAGTTTACAACGTTATTTATATGCGCACGTCAAACGATTAACCAAAAGCAAGCCAACAACTTCTCAAACAATTAACAAATTATGCAGCTGATTGTCAGATGAACTCTCCACACTGATCACATAGATGCTTTATTAGATATGCATTTTTCATAAGTTGATTAGAACTGCTGATGACTCAGCGTTTTCCTGCCTAATCATCTATCTGGATGAATGACTTGATTGAATTGTCAGTGTATTGATTTTTTATTTATTCAGCTATGATTTTGCAGTTATTTTATTAAAAATTCTCTCTTTTATATTTGTGTATTTCAGAGTATTTTCCAGTCGATCATTGTCACTCGCATCCTGCAATTTTCTTCGCGTTGCTAATTCACTTTTCACAGTCAAAAATGGGAATGTTACAAAAGAAGGCTTCACTTCTTAGCTACAGGTAAAGGCTATTGATGAGCAACGCAACTGTCAGGTGTAAAGTTGTGTAAGCTACTGCACATGAAAGCTAGTGCTTGGGCCCGATTAGATAGTCTTGTGTGAGTGCTTATTTAGTGACATTGCTAAGCAGCTGCCATAAATCTGATTGTCAATTCACAGAGCAAAAGTATTTAGAAAACTTTCACATTTTTATTTTTGAGCGTATTTTTACCCGCTAGACTATATAAGCATATATTTAGTGTATATAAATACATAACATATTTATATATATATATATACATATAGTCGAGTTGTCTCTGGTATTTCTTTATTGGATTAGAGAATTTTTTTATTTATGCGCTTTGGTTCCGACTCGGAACGCACAGCAACTGAAACTGAAACTGAGACTGAGCGCAAAATGTGGCAGAAAATGAGATAAAGTCTACATAGTTTGTGCAATGCAATAATATCAATTTTCATATTTTCATTTACTTATCCGCTGGTAGAAAGACAAAAGCAATTTAACAATCTACTAAACCACTTAAGCGCAATTTTAGTTCCCGGCCGCGCAGGCAGCATCAAAAACTGTGTGGAAAAAATGATACAAAAAAAGCAAAAAACGTGTAAAAAATATGCTAAATTCCAGCATAAAGTTCGTTAGTTCGTGTTCTCAGATCTGTTACAAGTGCTCTATGAATAAACATCAGAATGCATTATGCATGTGCGAGCGTGTGTGTGTGTGTGTGTGTGTTTCAAGATAGATCTATTTCACAAGTGTAGTAAATTTAATCATCATCAGCACAGATTAGAACTGACGCCGCTGCGCCTCATCGACACCAGGGGCCGAAGCGTCAACATCCATCCAACCGTTCGACTACCCAACCACCCAACCACCCAACCATTACCCCTTCACAGTGAGCGAGCGGAACAGCTGCCTGGCCGGTTAGCAGAGCTTTATGAATTGTTTACATACTCATTTCGGGTAGGCGCGACAACTTATATGATAAGATTACCCGATCATAACGTAGGTGTATGCATATGCAGTCACACTTACATACATATATGTATATATATGTATATTAATTTATATTTTGCTCACGTGTAGCTGAAGCAGCGTAATCAGCATTAATGCGAACTGTAGCGCTCATTCAATGTCACTGAAATTTAACACTTGTAGGTAAGTGTGTGAGCGCTCTCTAGATAGATGATGAATACAGTCATTTAGGCGGTTTCTTTTGATCAAGGCTGAATGCAAATACGAAATACCTTTTTGTATTCCAACTATTAACTTTGAGTCCAATCGAAGCTAATTAGCAGATTAGCTAAAGCCTTCAGGCATGGGCAAAAAGTTCAATAGACATTTGGAAAATAATACGCGTTGCCAGGGCTGGCTAGGCGAGCCTCTGGGCAGGAAGCTAACTTCAACCGCAGCTCTGCTGTTGATTGATGTGCTTAAGTAGCTTATACTATATATAGTGGCTGATCTGCTATATTTAGCTAGCTGCTAATCAGTCTCAATCAAGCAAATGTGCCGCCTCCCATCCAGAACAAGCAGAGTCTTGTCTAGGCGAAAGAGTATTTGTCTTACCTGTGAGCTCCACTGGAAGCAGTTAAATAAATAACACGTTTAATTACTTTTTAGATATGTTCAATTTTATTTAAGACTTTTATTTGATTTATGCATAAACTTTCATCTTGCAGCTTGCTGCGTGGTGCGTGCTGCGTGCTGCTGCCCTCTTTTGATTCTTTTCTTTTCGTTTTTCTTTGCTTGAGTTTTCTTCTTCTAAAATGTAGGGAGCTCTGGAGAGTTAAAGTTCGCTGACTGCCTTGTTCTGTGTGCTAATGAATTCTAAGATTTTTGTTAGTTTTTTATTTTATGTTTACTTTGCTTGCCTGAAACTGCGTTGTGATGCCTTAGGTATTCGTTTTTGCTTTCGTTATTTAAACTTTAATATTGCTTACATATTCGAATTTAATTACATAATTTTACAGTGATAAATGGAAACTCTTAGCACATGCTGCATGCGGCTCTTGTGCACAGTATTTTGTTTTTGTTTTTGTTTTTTTTTTTTTTTGCTTTTTTATCGTCTCTAATATAATTTACAGTTGAAACACTTAAATATATATTTTTAGATAAATAAAAATTCAAAATGCCTACATAAGAATATTTTTACTCTCTGGCTTTAACACGTGCGCAATTAATAATTTTTATCATTTCTTTTTTTTTTTGACTAATTTTTAAATTTTATTTAAGTTTTTGGGATTATTTTATCTGTTAATTTTATGAATATTGATATATTTATATATATATAATTTTGCTTATTCATGAATAAAAGCATTTTGGAATTGGATTTTCGTTTCTGTGTCAAATGTACATAAAGTCAATTGGTATTTCATATTCAGATGCGCTACGATATAGTTTAAATATATATATATTTTTTTTTTCTCTTTTGTGCTCGCTTGCAAATATTCGTATTGATTTATTTAACTAATTGTTTAATATGAAATCAATAAAATCTGCCGCCCAATTCGTTTCATTGTCCTTTTCCTTTTGATTATCGCTAATAGCTGGCAATTGCTAATAGTTTACATATATAGATATATATATATATATATAGTGTATATGTATGTATCTATTTACTTATGCGTATTACATATTTGTATTTAATTGTTAAATGGCATAAATGAACACTCCAGCGACAGGCACACCTTAACTATATACAGCTCGCTTGCCTGGAGAGTCTACGTCTACCAATTTATATTGCTTAGCATACAATTTTTCCTTAGCTGATTTTCCAAATATACAACTTTGACGGATACATCATGTGTGTGTGTGTTTAATTTTCGCATTTAAAATTTGAATACAATTCAATTGAGTTTCGATAGAGTTATAAATATTGGCAAATTCGTTTGCTTCGTGTAAATATTTCGGTTTTAAAATGTAATTGGTCTATTGCCGGCAGACTGTGTGCCTTAATATAGGAATCAACTTGAGTTATTTCTAGATATCTTCGGCCCGTTGCTTCGTATTAATTAAAATGTAATTTCATCGATTAAAAACTGCAATTCAAGTTGGACGTTTGACAATATCACGTTGCGAAATATACATAGAAAGCAATTGGCAAAAAATGGCAAATGAACAAAATTCTTTTGTTTTCCTTTTGTTTTTGTTTTTTTCTTTGTTTTTTTAACATCAGGCTAACTAAAAATAGTTAAACGATTTGATTACATTACAATTACTAAGTATATAGCTCTGTCTGTTTACATATATATATAGGTAAATATATATATATATATATGAGTATATATATAAATGCCAACATTATCGGAGGAAGGATTGACTGACTAACTGACTTTGCTTTATGTGCTCACTCTCTCTCTCTCTCTCTCTCTCTGTCTCTCTCTCGCTCTCTTGCTATCTATCTGTCTCTATACACTATACATTTGAACTGAAAGACGCGTCTTGGCCTTTTTTCACTATCGAATCACAGCAATTGAAATACATACATATATCTAACGCAAATATCGAGAACCTAAACTAAAATCTGTATGTAATAAATGGGTTGTTATTGATCCTTGTCGTCCTGCAGCGCGGCTGACACATTTCCACCCGTATTTTTGCGCAAATGATTGCGCAACATCACCAGATTGCGATTCAGCGGCAGATTGCTGGAGAGGCCCAGCGTGCTGCTGCTGCCACCGGATGGGGCATGCGGCAAAGTGTTGCAAATGTTGCCAAGCGGCGCCGTTGCATTCAGGCTGATGCCGCTGCTGGGGCAGCCCAGCATGCCAGCCGACGCGACCGACGTGGTGGGCGAGGTGGCGCCCACGCTGCTGCCTCCGCCCACTTGGCCCACGCCCAGCAGCAGCTCGTGGGCGAGTATGGTTGGCAAATGTTAAGTGCTGCTCTTCAGCGGACCCGACGATAGCGAACTGCTGCTGACTCCCGAGTCGCTGCTCTTCTCGCTGAGGCCGCCACGCGTGAGCGTATCGTCGCCCATAAGACCGCCGCCGCCAAGAAAGGACTTCTTGCCGACTCGCGCTGGCAGCGTCGCCTTAAACGGATTATCCTTGCAACGCCGCGCGCTCTCCACACGCTTCATTATCTCGCTCGAGCACTTGGACACCACATCGTCGAGGCTGTTCGACTCGTCCGTCGAGTTCACTGTCTGCGTGGGCGTCTGCGAGCTGGGCAGCGGCGAGCCCTCGTAGCAGCCGGAGTCGCGTGGAAAGTGTCGTCGGCCGAAAGGCGAGGCGCCGTGCTTCTTGTTGATGTTGTTCAGGCGTGCCTCATCGTTCTCCGAGCTGGAGCCGGCTATGTCCACGTCGGAGCCTGTGCGTGCGAAATTTGTAGCTGTGTTGAGTACGTGTGTGTGTGTGTGGGTGTGGGTGTTCGTGGAGTGGGGCATATTGTGGTGCACATAGAGCTTTAGGCATGGGGCAAGGCATGAGTGGGGCGCCAATACTTACATTCAATGTCATGCAACAGCTGCACGGCCGTCAGCAGCTTGGCGCGATGCTCCTGGTTGAGTATGCCCAGATAGTCCAGATCGGCCGGCTCGAGCTCCTTGAACAGTTCCAGATCCTCGTAGCTGCAAATGGAACGATAGGTGAAACAATCCAACAAAAAATTTGTTGAGAAATTTGTTTCATCTACACCACTTACCCGTTGAGCACAAAGACCGAGGTGTACTCCTTGAGTCCGATGCGTATCAGCAGATCTTCCACAGAGCTGGGTCCCGTGTTGCCACTGCCATTGTTGCTGTTGGCCAAGCGCGAGGCGGGCGCCAGGGTCTTGCTGCTCGAGTTCTTCATGCGCTGCTCGGGCAGCACCTCCACATTGATGAACTTAAAGTGGCCAACGCGACCATGACAACGCCCTTTCCAAATGCCCGACGCATTCATGGACAGCACATCGATCAGATCGCCCTTCTGCAGAGAGGCAATAGGCAAGGGCATTTAGTATAACACATAGAGCCGGTCTGCTGAGCGTTTGCTTACCTTGAATTTAAGTGCCTCCTTGTCGTAGGGATTGGGCAGACTGTCGACAAGTGCCTTGGCCTTGCAAATGGACGCCAGGGAGGCGCGATCCTCGGCTGAAATGGAGCTGTGTGGGCTGCCGGGGCGCACCAAAGCCTGAGTGCCTGCCAAAATAGGTTGGTTTTACGTTCAAATATTTGTCTCGACAACATTTCGATGGAAGTTTGCCCAGAAAATTTTCCAATTAATGCGCCCACAGCCAATTAGCCAGGGGCTAAAGAATTTGGCAGTGTACGAAATGCAAACACACACACACACACACACAGACTCACACACAATTCGTTTGGTTAATTAAAAACTTTTCAAATATTTTTACACACTCTGTGTGTGTGAGAGAGAGACAGCATGAGGGGGTCTCAGACACAAAGCTCGTTTCGCCCAAAAAATATTCAAATAAGCACTTGAAGTTTTTGGCCAAAGCTTTGGCTAATCCTTGCTTTGTGTCCTGGCCACATGAAAATAAAGTATTTTTTCTTGCACTTTTCAAAGTTGCTCCTGCCTTCCGCTGGCCGCTGCCGCTGCCGCTGCCGCCTGCTGCTGCCAGCTGCTCTGGCTTTTTGTTTTTGTTTTGCTTTGGTTTGGTTTTTTCTTCTTTATTTGGAGTAGAAATTTGCGCATATAGCGAAAACTTTTGTTCATTAAAAACTGAGCAGCAGCAGCAGCCCTTTATTTAACCACGCCCCAGACATTGCATCGGGCTGCATGGCCTGGCCAATGCACTTGCCACATTGCCAGTTGCCACTCGCCACTTGCCACTTGCCACTTGACTGTGCGCAAGTGCATTAAAAATTCATTAAGTTTGCAAAATTTCAAGTTATTGTGCAGCGGTTGCAAAACAACCGCAGCAACAACTACAACTGTTAATAGACCAATATGCAACACGAGCGTGCAGCAGGGCGGCAGTCTGGGAATTTTTATGCACAAGCCGAGGCAGAGCGAATGCTTCCTTTGCTTCTCAGGCCGCAGTAAAAGAAAAAGCAAATGCAAAGGCAAAATCAAAATTCTAAATTGTAAGCACACACATACACACACTCGCACACACACACACAAACACAGACATCTAAGCACATAGATAGAGTTTTATACTCACTCGAACCGGATGCACTGGGCAAACTTTCAACGGAGCTGGCGGAACATGCAAACGCCTGATCGCTCATGCTGCCACGGTCGGTATTATCTTGGGAATTGCTGAAATCCCTTGATGTATCCTTTGTGGCAACAAAGTTTCGTCCATTCTCATTAAATGCGCCAATTTCCTTTGGCGAGCTACGCATTTCGCCCGACTGTGCAGCAGCGCCAGCCAGAGTGAAAGTTGTTTCGTCGTCGTCGTCATCGAGTTGTGCAATAAATTGCATGTTAAGCCGGGCAGGGGCGGCAGTCGAGGGCGCATGGAATAGAGCAAAAGTTTTGTTAGTTAAATCATTAAAAAGTTTAATGCTACCACACAAATTCCTACACACACACACACACACGCGCGCAGACACGCCCTTTGGGCTGTCCTTTTTTGGGGTCTTGAATTTGGCTGCAGCGCTTCCGCTTTGGCTTCAGCTTCGACTACGGCTTCGGCTGCCTTTTCTTCCCCTTTTTTGCATTTGGTTTGACAGTGAATATTGAGCCGCTGCTTGCCTCAAAACTTTGCTCATATCTCGCACAGTCAACAGGCCTAGGCGTCGATTGCCTGCAACATGTTGGCGCTGCAAGCGCGATCTACGACCCGTTGATGCCCTGTACTTTGACAGCACATTGCTGGCTTTTGATTTACTTTTGGCTAAGGTAGCCTGGAGCTTCGAACATGTTATTTGTTCGTAGTCTCAGTTCTTTTTAAAATTGTATCAAAATTTGTATTTTGTTTTGTGTTTTCTTTTTTTTTTTTTTTTTTTAATGTTTTAGGGTCCGGCAACGGAAAATGGCCACCGTCTATTCCTGTGAATTTGAAGTGTTTGGCAAAGTACAAGGCGTCTATTTTCGTCGGCATGCCGAGATAAAGGCGAAGACGCTGGGCCTGCGCGGCTGGTGCATGAATACGGCCGATGGCACCGTCAAGGGCTACATTGAGGGGCCGCGCAACGAAGTCAACCTCATGAAGGACTGGCTTCGCACCACCGGCAGTCCCACGAGCAACATACTGAGGGCCGAATTTTCAGAGGATCAGGAGAAGCGAGAATACGGCTTCAAGAACTTCCACATCCGACCCGACGCACCCAAAGACAAGAATCGCAAATCACCAACCAGCATGAATATATCCAGGAAAGTGGAACACAAAATGTAGTCCCAAATGTTATTCAAATACTGCGATTTCAGGCAAAATCAAATAATTAAAATTTGAGTAAACTTTAAGTGAAAGATAACTTAGAGAAATGCATTTCTATGGAAACCCATGGGAATTGCAGATTTTCGAATTTTCTCATAACTATTTGGCAGCTCTGCTGCCAACTGCAGCGCAATGTAATCATGGCCAAAACTGAAAATGAGCTTTCACTTTTTTTTTTTGCCCATTTGCCCCGCCTCCGCCTGCTGAGGACCTTGTGGCTGGACTGCTGTCCACGTTCGGCAGTTGGGCGCGTATAAAAACTCATTTAACTGGCATTTGCATTTAGAGTGCATGTTCAGGCGCTGCTTCCTGCTCCTGCCGCTGTGCGCCTCTTGGCCACGTTGGTGTTTGAGCCTTTTTTGGCCAACGATTTCTGCATAGGCCGTAGACAAATTGCAAGTGGCTTAGAGAGAGCGCTCACAAATTCCAATCAGGCGCATATGTAAATGGCCAAGCTAATTACATTTTGCAGCTCACGAGTCAATATGCTCGAAGCTACAGCTGCGGCTGCTGTTGCTGTTGCTGTTGCTGTTGTTGTTCGTGTAATCCAAATGCAATTGCAATCACTCACAGACACACACACACACAGAGCGAGAGAGAGAGGCACACGCAATACTGATTAATTAACTTACGTGATGCACCATGGCCTTCTGGCAAATCGTATTCGCCTTGTGCGGCAGTCCGTTCTTTTTGGTCTTCGCTGCAAAACTGGGCGGCAGTCCGTGCCTTGTGGCGCCGATGTCCTCGTAATCGGATGAAGGACTCGGCGACAGCGACGGCGACTCGCCAATGCCTCCACTCAGCGTCCGGTATCTGGCGGTGCAATTGTTGGTGCCAATCTATGCACGAGCGACCGAGAAGATGCAGAAGAAGAAGCAGAGCAAGTAGAAAGTTAAACGCGTTTCGCATTAACCAAAATGCTGCAGTCGAGTCAAGTTGAGTTTGCAAATGAAATGGCCAACAGGCAACGGCATCGACATCGTTTAGCTGGCTTAAGTGGCATGCCTGCCTGCTGCCTGCTGGCAAAAAGAAAACTTTTCTATTTTTTTTTTTTTTGTTTTTTTTTTTGGCTAAAAAGCTTTTCCCGTTTTTATGCTCGCACACAGACTCTACGTGCATTTTGTTATTCTTCCTGGTCGTGCAGGTCGTTGCAAACTTTGTTTGTCACTAAGTGCACTTAATCAATTTAGACGACACATTGAGACGCAAACACACACACAGATAGAGACATGTGTGTGTGTGTTAGCAACTGCAAGCCAAATGAGCTGCTTCGTCTAATGGCCTTTGGCTTACTCACCGAAACTGTGCTCAGTCTGGAGGTAACGCTTTGTATATCCGAAATGGAACCAGCATAGTCGCCGCTCTCGCGATCATGAGATCTGTAAAGGCAAAATAGTAGTTGAAATTAGTTTGGGTATAAATAGCAGTTTACACACTCACAAGCTGAGAAATAGGTTAGTAAAATGTCTTTTGTGTGAAACTCAATTAGAGCTAATGAAAACTTGGCTACGACTAGCCAATAGAAAAACTTGCTTAAAGAAATCTTATTAGCTGCCAGCACAGCACGCAGCAGCTGTTGCTATACTAGCTCCAAGGAATATTTACCTTAACTCACTTTGACTATTTATCATGAGCGTTTTCTAAGCAAGTTCTTAGTATCCAACTATCTATGGCTACCAACTACATCCCACTGGCAACTCTCTTCAGCTTTGCTCTCAGCTCTGACTTGCAGCAGCTGTCATCTTGTGCTTATCTGGGCAAACTATTTAAATTATATGCCAAATATTTGCTCATCTTCACCTTGAGTAGCCAGAAAAAGAAACAAAAAACGAAACACAGTCGGGGTACGCTCGAGTCCTGTAATCTAGCATACACTTGAGGAGCTGTTCGGTAACCGTTTTGATTTCAAGCCAGAATTTGTTGCTGCTAAGCAAATATGTATACACAAGGGCAACAGCAACACAAACAACAGCAATAATAACACTTGGCACAAAGGTCTTGGGTCCACGAGCAAGCAAAAGCTCATATAAATAAATATTTTATACCTTTTTCTTCTACTTCAGTTTTTTTTTTGTTTGGTTTATTTGTTGTTGTGCCTGGGCATTTGACTTTAACACTGTTGAGATTTTCACTTTTGGCTGCTTTTCGTGCTTTTTTTTCCATTTCCATTTCCATTTCCATTTTCATTTTCATTTATTTTATTTTTGTTTTGTGTTTTCTTTTATTTGGCAAGGAAAGTTTTTTGTTTTGGCCCTGAGGGCACACAGGGCGTATAAGTTATTTCAGCACGTCTTTTGTATAGTTGGCCGATGCGTACGTGTGGAAAACGGCCCGGCAACTGCTAACTGACGACCGACTATCGACTGTCGACTTGCTACTCTCTACTCTCTACACTCGACTGTGCAGTGTGGCCTGGCTCTGGCCTGGCCTGGCCCGACTGATTGACGAGCCGTGCGGCGCTGCGTCCTGGAGCCGCGTTGAAGTAGCAATAATGCCATTTCATTCAAGTGTCGTCGCTGTCTGTGCACTGGCCCAGGCCAATATTGCAGACGTCGTTGTCTTCTTATTAGTTTTCGGCCAGCTGACTGGCTGGCACGCCTCCCAACCACCAAGCGCACCAACCTTTCCTTAACCTGGCAGTCCATGTTTTATTCTTTGTGGCATGCGTAACAATATGAAATTGATGACTTTCGCTTCAATGCGTTACGATATGTTGCAAGCAGTCAGTCAGGCAGACAGACAGACAGACAGACAGACAGCTGGGACATTCAAAGAGTCAGTTTGTCATTCATTCACTAGTTCTTCCCTTGGCCCTTTGCCTCATTCATTCATGTGGCTGCAAAATGTTGATAACGGCACTAATGAAGTGAGGCTACCTTTTAACTCGTTTCGTTTCTTTTTTATTTTTTTTTTTTGTGGCATGTTGCCCGGGTCAATCCTTTTGCGCACCTTTTCGCATTGACAAATAAATTCAAGGAACCTGAGTGGGCGGGTGGCTTGGGTGGGATGTTGCGTCAATTGAGCTGCTTGATTGCTTTGCTTTGCTGCGATTCGATTCGATTTTGGCTTGGTTCGGTACGGTTTGGTCAGCTATTAGTGTTGGGTTGTTTGCCAGGCTAAATGCTTGGCCTTTTCATGCCACACTGCACACATTTGTGGCACATTTTGTACTTCAGTGCGCTTTCCCCTTAACGCTTTGAAGTGGTCAAAGGGTTTAGAGCGGGCCACCCAGAAATTGCCAGATATCCATTAACAGATAACTGCACCGCCATTCATCTTCACATACTTATATACCTAATATATATATATATTATATATGTATATATATATCTATTTTATATATATTTATATTTTGTTGCTGGCTGCTGCTGTATTATTAACGTTTTGGGCCTTGGCCCCACAAATATTAATGACAATCAGCCAATGAACGAGCTGCGCCATGCCCTGCTCGCTTTGGACACTCACCTGGCATGCGTTAACGGTATTATTGTCGGCGGATTTGGCGGCTGTTGTGGCACGATAAGCCCTCGACGCGGCGGTCCGCGTTGCGGCAGTGAAATATCTCCGGCGGATCTTAATGAAATTACGCCCGTGCTCTCGCGGTTGTTCGAGAAGCGCACGCGGCCACCCTAGAAGCAGAGAGAGAAAGAGAGTTGTAAAGTCAGTCAGAGAGAGAGAGAAAGAGAGAGGGAGTTATGGCAAAGGTAAGCAAAACATTTGGATTAGCGCTCAAGTCGAATTTGTTGCAGCAACAGCCGCAGCAACAACAACAAATTATGAAAAATTAACAAAGTTATAAAAGTTTATGCGCCGCGTGTTGCGTGTTCCTAAAGTAGAGTTTACTTTGGGCCCTTGTGGCCGCTGTTGCTATTGTTGTTTTAGCTGTGATTTGCTGTTGCTGCTGCTGCTGCTGTTGTTGCCGTTGCCTTTTATTCTGCTTGGAATTTTAAATTTAGTTTATTCGAACGCAGCGGAAATTGCAAAGTTGTTGCCTTACATTTGGGGCAAGGCCCGCACACACACACTCACACACACACACGCCTACACGCTCATCTAAATTACAGCAACTTTCAGTTTGGACGCAACATGTAAATTGCAAAGTTTTGTAGCATGTAGATTTGCTGTTGCTGCATACTTCATGAAGCCAGCTCATCAAACAGCAAAGTTGCAACTTGGCATTGGCGAGGGGCATAGATAATGAATTTGTTGCATACTTTTTGCCATGGCTGGTTATGGTCGGCTCGTGGCGTATGCTCGAATGCTAAAGCCCTGTATTGGCCACGTCGTTTTTATTTTTGAGTATCCATTAACATTGGCCAAAGTTGCGGTTCGCTGCGCAAATACAACAACAACAACAACGACAATGGATAGGGACAATTGTGCGCTTCACATTTTTATATAGAGGCCCGTCTAAAGTGCTGCGCAAACCGCAAAAAACTTTTTTGCTAAACAAATTTTGCGGCTCGCTGCTGTTGTTGTTGTTGTTGCCGCTTTACGTATTGCCACATCAAAGCGAAAACTGAAATTGAAAGGCCACAAAGGGCGGCGGCTCAAGCATATCGAAACGCCGCCGCTGAGTGATTTCCAATTGACTAAGAAAACAAAATTTCTACCCCGAAAGCTACCCTCTCTGTTCAGTACTTGCCAGTCGCCACGCCCCTCGCAGGGGCCGCAACAAAAGCGCAACTACTGCCGTGCATAACACAAGGCAAATAGCAAAATGGGTAAAAAGTAAATTTTATGCAAAGCCCGAGGAAAAGTCTCAAGACGTCGTCGCCGGGTTGAACAAGTCAACAAGAATTATGCACTTTTTGACTGTCAATAAAAAATAAAGTAAGTTGAAGTTGAACTTGCACTGGCGCTGGCTGCTGCCGTCGAGAGTTGTCGACAGAGGCAAAGAAAAAAATGGAACGAAAGAAAAATGCCAAAGAACATACAAATCGAAGTTGGAAATCAATGCGCAGGTAAAATATATTCAGCGTATAATTTAATAAAGCAAATAAAAAGGCGAAAGGACGAGTGAGAG